ATTGAGCACAACAACAATGCTTGACATGAATAGAGGTAAATATATCAACTTTATGATATGATGTATGAGTTTGAATACATATACATGCTTGCTTTGATATATGCAAATATATGATTTTGTGGTTGAATATATAATATATTGCACAAATTAATCACCAAGTCACGTAGTAGATATTGTCTCAATATTCTTGAAAGCTTGGATTGGTTAATTCACTTTGATTAATATTCTTGCATAGTTCTTAATCACCTTGATGTGATTAATATATATTTTCTTTTGTATAAATATTTGTTTAAGATAAATTTTTGAACATGGCTATGAGTTGACTATGTTGATTTCTTTATCTTTAAATTGATTTGACTCATAGATTATGAATTACAATTTTGAAATTTTATATACATGTTCATTGATTGAACCCATTGGATAGCACATACCAAATCATGCCTAAATACTTGCATATGTTTGAGTTAAGTACTTTGCTATACATTGAAATAATTTGGACTATATTTGAATAATTATGCTTTTATTATTTCTTTGCTATAGCATATATGTTCATCATGTTCGAAAATACTTGAACAATCTTTGTTATGACATGAAGATAATTAAACCTTATTGCTTATTAGTATTCATACTTTATTAAATACATATGAGCTTTTGGTTCTTGTTTGGATAGGATAGCTTATGAAAGATTACTATTATCATTTACGCATGTATTAAACGAATCTTTTATATGCTTGAAGTATGTGCGCTCTATGAAAGCTGTTGAATAAAATTGCTAATAATTGGTATCAAAATTATCAAAAAATTTTTGAACTTTCCATAGATGCTTATTTATGTGCCTATCCTTGATATAGCTTATACCTTTCATGCAAAATTGTGTGTGCTTTAAATTGGTTAATCCTTATTTTGAAAAGGAAGAGAAACCTTAGAATACAATTTTGCTTGATTTATTTTGTGATAATAATTGGTATGCCTTGTGATAACATATCTTTAACAATTGGTATCCTTAACTTTAGGTATGAGCTTGTTTGTATGTGCTTGAATGTTTGTTTACATGCTAATGATGTTTTAGGTTCTAATCACATCTTATGATAACATGATTTATGAGTAGGTTACATATCATTTATTATCTTTTGCTCATAAATTTCATGGGTTGAATGAATGATTTTGTACTATAACATTTCAATTAGATACACTTATACTTTTGTACTTGAATACATGTATGTGAACTTCATTGTGTATATTTCACTTGATTACATGCATTCAAAATTCTCTTGATATTATTGGTATCAAGCATTTTGTCCCATGCCTTGAATTGATCTCTCTTTCTTTTACTATGACAAAAAAAGAGAGAGTTTATGAATATTCTTCTTGTATGTTTATAGCAATTGGTATAGAAGCTTTGACATTTGGTATAAAGAGCTTAAAATAAAAGGGGGAAAATGCTTCATGAATATATATGATGCCTCTTTGTGTTTATTTGCTCATAAATATGCTTATGTCTTTTTGCTATCACAAAAAGGGAGAGAAATATCATATGGATAAATTTTCTTGTGCTTGACATGCATATGTTTGATCATACTTGTTTCATATATTTGACTAACATATGTTTGTTGAGTTGTGTTGGATTAAGATGCATTAATTAAGGGGAAATTTTGCCATGTATTGTTCAAGAGGGAGTTTTTTAAAATGTTTTTCAAAATCTTACATGTCTTAAAGAAAGTTTTTTTTTTTTTTATCAAGCAAATTTATCTTTAAGTTTTGTCATATCAAAAAAGGGGAGATTGTTAACCTTGAATTGATCATTATTTTGAAATAACAAAACATTAAGCTAAATAAGCTCAATTAAGATTTTGAAAAAGATTTATTTAGTACATGTCCTTAAGTTTTATATTTTGGTACTAAATAAATAATAAGTTTTTCAAAGTGTAAACAAACCTTTCTTTGTTTTCATATTTCTCAAACCAAATCTATCTTTAAAGATTATTTATTTGAACTTAAATGAAAGTCCAATTTTTTTTTTTAAAATGAACTTATTCATTTTGGACTTAATACAATTTTGATAATATTAGTTTTGAGAAACAAATTAACTTAAGAAAATTATTTTATAAGAACAAAATCTTTCGACATTGAACTTTTTTTATTTTTTATATTAGTTCATAAAGCTTTAATATTTGAATTTTATATGGTTGGAAAGCTCTTTGAGTCTACTTTCCAATAGATTAAACAAAATCTAAATCCAAATTTTTTAAGAAAAGATTTTGAATTTTCACTAGACACTTTGCAGTTGTCTAAAAATTGCCCAAAGGGTAGTTTTAAAAATTCACTATAATTGGTATACAATGAATTAGGTGATTTTATATAGATAGAAAGCCCTTTAAGTTTAGTTTTTAAATCTTTAAATGATTTTTTATTTGGATTTGTATAACTAAAGATATGATTAAATTAGTGAGTAGAGTACAAAATAAAATACAACCACTCTGTTGGATAGGATCGATCCCCTAAAAAAAGGATCAATTAGTTTTTTATCCAAAATGAAAAATTTTGCTTCAAGATTTGAAAAGAGATCAATCACCTAAAAAAGGAATCAATTGGTACTAAAAAAGGATCGATCCCCTATACCTAGAAACATTTTAACAGCTAGTTTTTTCAAGTTTCCAACAGGCATTTCTTCTTCCAAACCATCCCTAACAGCTGGTTCTTCAATTCCTTTATAAATTGGGCATTCCAACACACCAAGAAAGTTGATGAATCAAGAAAGCAAAAACCAACAAGCTATATTTTTTTTTTCTCCAAGAATTAAGAGTTGTTAGAGCTTAAAATCTATATCTTTGGTATTTGTTGTATCAAAGCTATATTGTGTTGTTCATTCATCAAATTTCTTTGTACTTCATTAGGCAAACACTCAACTTTGAAAGGTATTTTAGTTTGCAAAAATTATTTTAGTTATATTGTAAGCAAAATGTGAGGTATCCTTCTTGATATTATAAGGGTATAGGTTGCTATCTAAGGCTTAGGACAAATATAAAGATTTAGCACAAGATAGGTTTTTATTTTGTAAGAGTTTTTCTTCAATTAATGGATTAAAGCCTTGATATGGACAATCAAGAAGAGAGGACATAAGGTGCCTTGTAGAGAAAGACTGAACCTTTATAAATCTTTGTATTTGATTTTTCTATCCCTATCTCTTTATTTGCATTGTTGATTATATTTACTTCTAGATATATTAATTATTATCATTTGCATCATATTGTGATATTAATTTTAATTTTTCATTCAATTATTTTGAAATCGTTGTTTGGGAAGAACTTGAAAAAATCCAATTCACCTTCCTTTTGGATCACCATCTCACCTAAAAAGCTAATAATTTTGTTTTAATGCTGATGTGGCTACTAATGATGTGATGTTTATTAGACTTTTTGACATGTGTCAATATTTTATTTGATGTCCATGCCACGTCAATTAATGGGCTAACGATGTTAGTCATACGTATCAAAATGGATGGCAGAATGAAAGTTGAAGTGTTAAACTAATAACTTTATTTCTTTAAGTACCAAACTAATAGAAAATATATAATACATGGGCATTTTTTTTTTTCATTCTGAATATGTTCACTTTAAACTGTTGCTTAGTATATGCCTTATCCTTCTAATGTAATATGCCTAGAAATAATGAACAAAAAGAATATGGTTTCTCCTTCTAATTGTTAGCTACAAAATGGAAAGCATAAAGAACAATTATTTAGAACATTGTAAAGTACATATTTACAAAATTGTAAAGTACATCATCATTTTAAATGATATATATGTGAGATTTCTTTTAGTATATTTTTATTTTTATTTTTATTTTGTAATTAAAATCATAAAAATTAAACTCTAATCATTCAATCTATACTTTAAATTTTACTAATTTTTAGGTGTCACCTTGCACTTCTCATTTGCCTTTTTTTTTTTTTTTTGCTTTTTCATTTTTTAAAATTTCTTTTATAACTTTTTATTTTTTAATATTTAATATTTTTTAAGATTTAAATTTTTTTGTATGCCCATTTTATACCAAAATTTTCTTTTTAAATTTTTTTAATAAATATTTTTTTAGATTTTAATTCTTTTTATGTGAGATCCATTTGATATAATGGTATGTCACATATTTACATTTTTTTTCTTTTATGCTTTTTTTATTATATTTATATATTTAATAAATATTTTTTAAATTTTTAATGTTTTTACTCACTTTTTTTCTTCTTGTTTAGTTTAAAAACCCTTTTAAGACGAAGTGCTATGTTGTTGTCTTTTTTTGTTTTGTTTTTGTTTTTGTTTATTTTTTTTCATTTTTATTTTTTTATTAAAGTAATTTTGTGAAAAAAAATAACAATGTAGGTGTTAACGTGACACTCTTTTTTATTTTTTTCGTTTTGCATTTTAGTATTTTTTTTAATTATATTAATTTTGCAACAAAAAGTATCAAGTGATAAAGATGCCAAAACAATCGATATTTATGAGTTTTGATCTGTTTGAATCTGATAAGAGACAATTTTTTAAATCAAAATTGACTTGAGAAGGATCAAGTTCTTTTAAGGAAAAAGAACTCAAGTTATACGCATATTTAGAATGTTTTGTCTTTACCTAGTTTGTGATATATAAAATATATATTTTATTATTTAGTTAATTTTATGCATATATGTATATTGTATTGATAAAATTATTTTATTTTACTTTAAGAAATTAATATTTTAAATTCGGTATGAGATGTCAAGAACTTGTGAGTTTTTTTTCTTTTTTTCTTTTTTTATTTTTCTCATTTCCAACATTTTATTTATTTTTTATTTATTCTTTTTGTTATATAAATTTTATGAAAGAAAGGTTAATTAAGATATTAACATGTCATTTTCATTTTTTTATTTTTTATTAAATAAATTTTGTAAAAATATATATATGATAAATAAATATAATAAAAAAATAGCCGTGACAATACGTGGGCATTTTTCTAATAGCTTATAAAAGATGCATTGATATATCTTTCATCGCAACCACATGCTGATAACCAATGTAAGATACTTCGTGCACTTGAGAAACATGTGCACCTTTGGGTTGCCTTTATATACATCATTATCCAGGAGCCCTTTAATTTTATTTTTTTTTCATTTTGTCTGTTAAAATTTCTTTTTTTTTCCCCAAGTTGTAGTAACTCAGGAGTGGAGGAGTATTTGGTCTAATAGTGCTACAAACTTTGTTTATTTATTTAATTGTTTTTTTAATAATCTATATCTCAAAAAAAAAAATAGTACAAAAAAGAAAGGTTGGAAACATGGCAAAGGAGATAAAGTAAAACTCCAAAAGACTGTCCAATAAAAACCCTAGTTTCCTCTTCCAATTTCCTCCATCCCCCATTCCTTTGTACATTTTAATCGAAATTACACCCACAATCCCAAACTCTATGAGCGGTTCCTATCTTAATCTCCCCAACATCTCTCCATTCGTATGCATTTCTGTGGCAGCTAGCTAGCTAAGCATTTTATGTAGTGGTATTATTAGTGTTTATTTGGTTTTGAAAATCTTTTGAGAAAAATAAAAGGTGGATCGAAGGCATGGAAAACGGCCGCTTCCACCCGAAGCATCAGAGGAGAAAAGCAAAGGACGCGATGACTTTGCAGCAGCTGCAACTTCTTGGCCTGAATCCGCGGATATGAAAGCCATGGTTACAGCTCTTACTCAAGTCATGGGAAGCGACGAGCAGCATAGTTTCCAACAATCATCGGCTCCCTCATCTGTACAATCTGCGGTGAAACAAGACCCTGAACCTCCTCAACCAGCGGTTCAAGATCAAGGTACCTATATATCTTTGACTACAATAAGGTTGATCTATTAATTAAATTTGATGGGTAATAAGGTAGGTAGGCAGCTACTAGGGTTGTATGATAACAGTTAAAGTTACGTGTGGTGTGAGATACCACTTGTTAAAGATGGATTGTCAACGTTTTTCAGCTGCTTGTGCATCTTATTTTTGTCTGTCTTTCTGATATTAACTTTGTTTGGTCGTAGCAGTCGTGATCTATCTCTATCTTCCTCTTCAGAGAGAGAGAGAGAGAGAGACAGAGACGGAAATGGAAATAAGGAAGTCTCTAGGGTTAGTCAAGTTCAATGAATCCAGGGCTATCAGTATCAACTAGCTACTTTCCGTAAAGAAGCCTCTCTCTTCACTCTTCTCTCTCCCACCATCTTCCTATAAAATAAATGTTTCTACTGTACTGATTTACACAAGACATTCTTCCATGCTTTTTCCCTAAAATTTTTCCACATCACCAAACACCCCCCCCCCCCCCAAAAAAAAAAATTTGTTTATTGGATTGTAGCGGTAATCATAATTCCTGTTATCTTGTCGAATAGCATACCCATTTACTACTGGATAAGGCTATGAGAATTTTCGATTGTCAAAATCCTTGAAAAACAAAATAAAAGAAAGAAACAAAAAGGGCCGGGGTCTACTACGTGGGATATGCTTTCATTCCATTTTATTTTCTTCTTTGACCAAGGAACTAATTATATTTCCATTTCCAATCTTACATTGTTTCCTACTAAATTGTGCCTAACTTTGAAAATGACTAATGGGATTTCTAGTATAGGACAGTAACTTATTCTACCAAAAGATTTGGGTTTCAAGTTTCTTTCCCAATTCCCACTAATTTCTTCATTATTCCTTGGGACTTATGGCCTCGACAATGGACGGTTTAAATGCCACTAAAGCTAAAACTATATGCGTAGTAAACTCGATTTTAAGTTTCTTGTGGTGCTACAACACTACTAGTATCTGTTTTGGATTTAAGTTGAAATGTTGTTTAAACTTGTTAGTTAATTGGAAGAAGGAAAGCAGTAAAATAAAATACATTAAACCGTCATCATTGCATTGATCTGTACTTATTTTTCAATACATTTGCCGAAAGTATAGTGAGAAACCATTGATCAGAATTGCACTTTCTTCTTTACTAAGTATTAAAAAACAAACTAATTTTCTTTTTTCTTTTCTTTTTTTTCCTAAGGCTTTACAACGATGGAATTAAGGAAACAAACTTTGGTCACCAAGTTAGGACATAAAACTACTTTCGTTCACATTATGTTATTAACATATATATATATATATATATATGGTTCTAAATAGAGCACTGCCTAATGCCCAAACCACTTATTTCTTCCCCTTGTGTCCTGATTGCATGCAATACGATGCAAAACCCTTGTATTTGTATATATTGAAATATTAATTTTTGTGCACTCATCAAATTTAATGTGCTAGTTAATTCATTTTTCTTACTCCATAAACTAGGCCAAATTTTACATTGTTTATATATTTGCTACATGAAGGATGAGAAGCGATAAGTAAAGTTGTTGACATTTATAATCTGGTGGCATGTAAATATATTTCATGTCATGTCCTCATTCATTGCCTTTCGGTATGTGAAGTAAATACAAGGAGAAGACATTACAGAGGAGTGAGGCAAAGGCCATGGGGCAAATGGGCAGCCGAAATTCGTGACCCAAAAAAAGCAGCCCGAGTGTGGCTTGGCACTTTTGATACAGCTGAAGATGCGGCCCTTGCATATGATAGAGCTGCGCTCAAGTTCAGAGGCACCAAGGCAAAACTAAATTTCCCTGATCGAGTTCAAGGGAATACGGAGGTAAGCTCTTTAACGGGTCCTGGAGATTCAAGCACGGTCCGTTCTGAACAAAATCCGACTCCAGTATTTGCCCCTTCATCATGGTCTCAGGATTCATATCCCCACTTGTTTCAATATGCACAACTACTTTCAAGTAGTAATGATGCTGATATCTCCTATTACACTTCAAATCTCTTCAATCAAGAACCTTTATCTCCTCAATTTCCTTCAATGTCAGCATCATCCACCATCCCATCACAGCACTACCACCAAGACCTGACAAGATTTTCAACCAAGTATGGGAGCTCTTCTGGTTCTGATTATCCGGACCAATCTGGCAAGGACTGTGATCCAAGTAACAGAAGCGAGTAGAGAATAGTAGCCTTTCAAGTTCTATATCAAGAGGTCAATGAAAATTCTACTATGTGGTACCACTTGATTAGCCAGGAAAAAGGATAATGCCGCAAGCACTCCCCTTTCTCACTTCCAAGCCCCTCGCTTCCACACCTTTTATGCTCTTACTTTCCCATACATGATTCCAATAGGTGGCAATGTTTGCAAAAGAAAGAATCATATACGGTACTGTAATTCAGAAGTAAGAATAATGAGTCGCAAGTGCATAATTCATCTTCCTTGAGCACATTAATTTTCAAGTTTTGTGATTTTTTTTTTTTTTTTTGCTTCTATTGTTGTTTTACTAAACTTGAGGCCTATATATTAAGTTTGATCAGAAGAAGCAACTAGGGAAAGGTCAGCTTCCAAGTAGTTTTTGGCGAATGGGAACTCTTGCCTACCATACTCCTTATAGCCTCCTAGTTTCACACTCATATGTAAATATATTCTCTCATCTTTTCCTTGTTTTTCTGGTTTTCCACCTTAAATGGGAAGATTGGATGAACAATTGAGCATATGTTAGCTGATCTTTTGATGTAAGCTAGCTAGAGATGAGTTTGCTTTTATTAATTAATAATGTCATTGTCAATTATTTCTAATTAATCAGTTCTATACAGATATCCTGATTCGTATGAAAATTATATGGTAATGACAATGTAAGTTGTGAATTAATGTACTTCGCAGTATTGGAGGTCTGCCTTGTATCACTATTTTGATTTGATAAATCATGCGATTATCTATATTTAACAGTACACCTTTTCTAATTTTACTCTTTCATTATTCCAGTTTTCAAAAGATAAATTAGTTAACTAATTAGTTTCTTGAAATTTAGAATGTACACTACACATTCTAATAAGTTCTAAGTAGCAAACAATCTTGCAATCTGTTTAATAAAATTTTAAATTTTTTATTTCATTTATCCAAATTAATTCACGACAACTTCAATTATAAATAAGTCTTATGGTTCCATTTATTTTGTTAGTCAAAAAGTTTTTATCCAATCAAATCAGCGGAAGCATAATTAGACAATCAATCAATAACACAAAATTGTGTCTTCCACAAAGGAATCTGATAAGTGAGATTTCGAGTAAGTGTTTACATAATTTTCTTCTGTGCGAAGAAATGATTCCGCGAAATAATGAGTTACCATTGATATCGACACATCTGAGATCGCCAAATGTTCAGGAGTTCCTCTATTCAATCCTTTTCCTTCTTCTTGTTGCTGGATATCTCGTTTATACACATCTTCTCTTTTTTTCCCTAGCCTACAGTGAGTTAGAGACAGAGTTCGAAAAGGTCAAATCTTTGATGATTCCATCATACATGATTGAGTTGCGAAAACTTCTGGCTAGCTATCCTACATCTGAACTGAATTCTTTCTGGTTAACGAATCTTCTTCGAGTTCTTCTGGAACAATTAGTATATTCTCTAGAAAAAATACGGAGGTTTGCTTTTGGCAGCAACATGGGTGTACTTTCTAAGATGAAATATTTGAATTTCAATCTCATCGGTATGGTTGATCTCATAAATCTCATACCAAATCCCATCGATCAAATCCTTTTTTTGATAAATACGAGACATCTAAGTCATACAAGTAAAGAGATCTATTCATTGATAGCAAAAAGACAAAACGTGAGCGGTGATTGGATTGATGATAAAATAGAATCCTGGGTCACGAACAGTGAGTTGATTGATGAGAAAGAAAGAGAAGTCTTGGTTCAGTTCTCCACCTTAACGACAGAAAAAAGGATTGATCAAATTCTATTGAGTCTGACTCAAAGTGATCTTTTATCAAAGAATGACTCTGGTTATCAAATGATTGAACAACCGGGACTAATTTACTTACGATACTTAGTTGACATTCATAAAAAGTATCTAATGAATTATGAGTTCAATACATCCTCTTTAGCAGAAGGGCGGACATTCCTCGCTCATTATCAGACAATCACTTTTTCACAAACAAAGAGACAACAATTTAATATGGTTTAGTCCAACTAACTTACATCCAGGGATAAAAAATAAGATCCACTTGTTGTAAAGAATTATGAACATACAATCAAATCAAACACTCAAAACCAATACCCATGACCCTTTCAATCTCCTTTAATCCTATAAAAGTATTTTAATCCAAATAAACACATACTCATATACGCCCTTTTAACACAAACAAATACATATTCATATGCACACATATTCATATGCACTCATACATCATATCTATATAGACCATTTCAGTCTCCTATAGTCCACTCACAAATATATAAATATATACACCCATAAGACGTAAATCGTCAATAGTCTTATGGATATCTATCCCATAAAACCCTTCAACTCTCTTACATTTTTTTTCATACCTAACCTTGTAAAGACTTACTTATTTATAAGCATACTAACTTACTTATCAAGAATTTTTTTTACTTCTTAGAATTCTTCTATCAAGAATTCATTTCCTCTTAAAATTCTTTTTCTACAGGTCTTTTTTTCCATCAAGTAATATCTAACTAATCTCAAATAAATCTGTTATTGAATTTAAGTCATTATTCTTAACAATCTCTACATTAACTCAAATTTCATCAATCATCAATCTTAATGCTAGACATGCTTTGCAACACTTACAATGGAAGTCTTACAATCACCTTCTTTTATGTGTCTTCATGCTTCATGCAAATTAATATTCAAAACATGAAATCGAACTTTTTTCTTAAGTAGAACTCTTATGGACTTACCTTTTCCCATGGCTCAAAGCATGCTCTGATATACTATTAAGCAAAAAAACACCTATCTAATCAAGCTAGCAAAAGCATAATCAAATAATTAATCAATTGCATAAAAGATAATAATTTAACATGATTCGATCTAACTGACTTACGTTCATGGACAAGAAACAAGATCAATTGGTTTTAGAGAATTATAAATATACAATCAAATCAAACACTCATAACCAATACCCATAGACTCTCTTAATATTTTCTAGTCTATCGAGTATTCTTAACCCAAACAAATACTTATCTATGCACACCTATGTATCATACCTATGTGGATCATCTTAATATCCCCTAATTCACTCACAAACATACAAACATACAAACATACATACTCATAAGACGTAAATCTTCAATAGTCTTATGAAGTGTCTATCCCATAAAATTTTATACTTTTCTTATATCTTTTTTTTCATACCTAATTCAGTAAAGACTTTACCTATTTATATGTATATTAACTTGCCTAGCAAGAATCATTTTTCTCTTAGAATTCTCCTATCAAAAATTCATTTCGTCTTAGACTTCTTCTTTTGTAAATTTCTTTATTTATCGAATAATATCTAACTAATTTCAAATAAATCAAATTTAAGTCACTATTTTCAAAATTTCAACCTTAAAAGCTATGGCGGCAGTCTTTACATCCAATTAATATATTCTCTAGAGGGTCAACACGTCATTATAAAATTATTTGAGCACCATTAACCATGCATCCGTGACCATAATGAGATTCGCAAATCAAGTGGAACTAAGAAATTAATATATTATTATATATACCCTTTTTGAAACGGTCGGTTGCATGCATGATTCTTGGCATGTTGATAAATTATTATTAATTTGTTATGTAGTTATAATATTATAATATTAATTAAATAATTAAATTCATAAAAGTAGTATTGTAGTCACAATTTCTAGTAGAAATAAAGTAGTACTAATCAATTTCCGTCTCAATTATAAACTCCAGCAGCACATTGTGCAGTAGCTGACTTTTGACTGCAGGAAGCAGCCAGCTAGCCCCTCGAAGCTTCATGAAATTTAACGGTAGTCTGGAATTGACGAATAAGCTATGGGAATTAGCAAATTAGGCAATCGATCTTTCATATTTATTCTTTGACTTCATATTAATTGGTTGGAATAAGTTGGATAGACATGGAAGCTTTATTAAGGGCCTACCAAATTTGACAGAGTGAAAAAAAAAAGAAAAAAAGCTTAGTAATATATATTAGATGGATTTACATCGGTATAAAATTAATTATATTTTATACTCTTTCGTACCTTTTTTATACGATTTACATTTGTTTGTTGTATTTTTTGCTCTAATCATATCGGTTGTGCATATCAAATTTTCATACATATACATATATATAATAAAAATAAAAAATAATAATAAACATCAATTTAACCAACTCAATCGTTCAATCTTTACTATTAGATCCGTAGGGTGTGCAAATTATCTATAGTGCTATAAATATATATATATAGAGAGATATATATATATGGCATAGCAGTATGAACGTGCTTCTTACTTTGGAATTTAGTTTTGAAAGCAACTTTGAGAATTTAGGTTGTGAACATGGCAAAAAGGAAGTGGGGTGTTTATGGAGGCAAACATTAACATTTCCAATTGGCGCCGCATCTTTCTTTCCTTCTTTCTTAATCAAAAGAGATTACATATTTGTATCTGTGAGAGAGATCATAGAAAAAATGTTCCAACTGTAATAAATATCTTTACAACAAAAGATCCACCAATAATAATCAAAAGGCAACGCCCTCTTGATTATGATCATGTGAAAAAAAATCATGGTCGCATGTAATGTTTTCCAATCAATAGGAGCACTATCAATCAAAATCAAAAGTGGACGTCTCGCCAATTTTTAAAAGATTTATACTATAGATGGAATATATTGATGGCGCCTACCGCATGTTGGCTTTAATTTTCATCAAATCAACCTCACATATTAATCCTCATCAAAAGCTATCCGCCATATATACATATATACATATATATTCACTTATGCTACTTGTTTTATCAATTTTGTTTTAAATATTTTTACTTCCTAATATGATAGATAATTACTAAATAAGTTTAAAAATAAAATCTATTAAATCATACATAAATCAATTAATTTATAAATGACATATTAAAATTAAATTTTATTGATCAAGTTAGACAAAATTTTTACTATAAAAATGTTGAGATATAACATTTTCTATAATCTCTTAATAAGAGCCATAACAATGATTTTCACTCACCGCTCGAGACATGCCATTAGTATCCCATAATTAGTTTCATCCTCATCCATGAACTAGAAAAAAAAATTAACTTTTGAAAAAAAAAAAACTTTACCTATTTTTTTCCATGTTATTGCAACCTTAAATATTCCTTTTAAACTCCCTCCCACATGAATGGCGGTGACTTGTTTTTGTCCACCCATGCATGTCTTGTTTTTCCTATTTACCAAAGTGGGAAAAGCACATTTGCCAATCATGAACGATTGAAAGTGAATATATATTAAAAATTTAAGACTTAATCCGGTTGATTTATATAATCATCTTTAAAAAATAATAACTAATTATAATTCAAATTTTAATACTTCTCTCTTTTTTAATTCTCAAACTATAACTTATTTTCTACCATACATATATAATATCATGAGGGCACGAATATGTTCGAGTTTTGTTTGGATTTTTCATGTAATTTAAAAAATGCGCTCCTCACATTAATGGGGTATATTCAAAATTTTATTTTTAATGCTTTTCACAAAGAATGAACCCTAAGTTAATAAAAATAAATAAATCTCCTCCCTTTATAATTGGGTTAAAAATATTAAACAAGAATAGATATTCTTTTCTCAAGAAATCTTCAAGAGCATTAGATTGTTAAACATCCAACTTAAAATTAATTATTAATAAGTGAAGAGGTTCAACTTGAATATAAGACTATAGGATATTGAATATTTATTAGATGTGAGATAATCTATTTTAACAAACCTCCATCACAT